GTGCGCATGCTCCTCACTTACGGATTCTCCACGCTTCCAAAGTATATACGCGGCTTATGGAATATGGGACCGATTAAGGAACCCGTGGAAGCCAGTGCTCAAACGGAAGTGATACAAAATACAAAGAAAATACTAATGATAGATCAGAATAGTGTAGCATAGCGGTTGGTATTCGTGTCATACAGGAAAGCCTACAACATACATCATTCAATGCTCCGCCAGCGAGAAGATCAATGGCGCTCATATTAGCGAACTCCGCAGTTTTTCCGTTCAAGATCCTCAGGACAATAGAGCGCTCAATACCAATAGGGAGCGGATAGGTAACACAAATATCTTCGACGACCTTCGACTCCACCTGCAATCAGATTTAAAAGCCCAACACATCTGACCATAATACAGTCGAAAGCTAGAAAGCAGACATTTTCATGGCAAATGCCATGAAAATGTCTACTTTCCACCAATAGCCATCAAGCATCAGCACGAACCAGATTGAGGAAAAATGACATGAACGGATGACCCAGTATATCTTCTATACCACCAGGGCTTCTGCGACGAAGTGCTACTTCAATATCGCGAACTCTAAAAAAGGACACTCTTTGTGAAAATATCGGTACTTCACTGGAAAAGAACGGCTTATCGGTTGAGAGTCTTACCTGTAGATTAAGTAAACAGTGACGATCTTGCTTGCAATGTCATCTGTAGGCGCTAAATCGTCGTAAATCGCCAACAACGCCATGCCGACCACTAACGAACATCGTTCTTTGAAGATCTACATAAGGTTCTCGAATGTTAATGTTGCTCTCGAATGTTCATGCATAAAGTTGATGTAGACATTCACCTCAACAAATTCCGCTGCAACTTTATTCAATGGCTTTGAATGGCACTTGATTAATCTGAACAAACACTTCTTAAACTGAATACAAGAAAACAGTGTCCAAAATCCTACACCTTATGATATCCGTAGCGTACTTCCGGGACAAGCCACATCCATCATCGTTGGCATTTTCTACAAGATCGTCAAAATCATCAGTTACATCTTTAGTCTTGCCTTTCTTCTTCTGCACCTTCTTTTTGCTACTCATCTACAATTCAGATTATCAAAGG